ATCATATAATATTATAATTATAATATTTTGTATCCTATACCATAGCACATAGCAAGCACAGAATTTTTTAAATTATTGATTAGGTGATATTCTGCTCTGTAAGGATGAGGTGATATCATGTGCGAATTTATGGGTTGTGCATATAAGACAAACCAAAATAAAATCAAATAATTCAAAAGAGTAATGACAAGGAGTATAAAAATTTAAAATTAATAACATTACATAAATCATATTATTAAATTAATTGTAATATATAATATCATGATTCTTAAAAAATAAAAAATAATTATTATTAAATAACATAAATTTTATTTTTTAGTATTTTAAGTGACATAGTTTATATTATATTGTTACTCTTAAATTTTCATCTCATTATCATTATTCAATTCAAAATCTCCTAGTATAAATACAGTGATTACCAGAATTGGGCTGTAGTGGCATAAACACCAGAGGCCCAAAAGGTAGCACGTTGGGGGCCCACCAAAGCTACAAATTCTCCATTCTCCTTACCGTTGGAATTCTACAAATTCGGAATTTCTCCAAGACTTCTTTCCATACTGCATTAGTACAAAGCATGCTCTTAAAACCCGACCCAATTCACTCAATTGAATTGGTTGAACTAAATTTGGTATAAAAATTGGTCAAGTAAATACTTTAACTTGTTATTTAATTCATTTGAAAGATTAGATCAGTCAAACCCATAAATCCTAATCAACTCATTAACCCAAAATATTTATTTTTATACATTTTATATTATTAAATTACATGTACCTAATTAAATTTAACTTTTTAAATTACTTCTTAAGTAATTTACAACTTATTTTTAAGGTAATTATATTTAGAACCAGTTCATAAATCAATGCACACATAGGATAGGATGAATTGTGAACTCAACACTACAATATTGACAATTTGAGTCAATGTTTTCAAAACCGGACCGGTCATTGAACCGTTTTCAGGTCCGATTCCCGGTTTGACCGGTTCAACCGGTTGAACCGGTGAACCGACCGATCCAAACAATAAAGAAGGTTTGATGAGAGGAGCAAGCTATAGGCATTGATTTTTTTATTTGGTGTTGATAATTTTGTAATT